CTGATGCTCAGAATTTATGTGACATAATAAAAATGTATTGCTATTTTAAACCACTAAGCTTCTGGAACAATCTGTGATGCAGTAATTGACAACTAATACAGGAGCATTCAGAGAAGTCTAGTTTCTGTTCCTGTCTCTTCATACCCTGGAAGTTAACCAGGTTTTTTTTTTTTTGTTTTTTTTTTGTTTTCCTGGCTAATGTTTGCCCTTCCACTGCTTTTGTTTTATAAATACAAGCAAATATGTATATATTTGTATTATGCATGTTTCTTAGATTAAAATTACTATATTATACAATCTGCTGAACTTTGCAGTTTTCTTTTTTTAATGTTTATTTACTGATTTTTGAGAGAGAGCACACGAGTCGGGGGAGAGAAAGAGAACACCAAGCAGGGTCTTGAACTCATGAACCATGAGACCATGACCTGAGCCAAAACCAAGAGTCAGATGCCCAACTGACTGAGCCACCCAGCCACCCCTGAACCTCGCGGTTTTTAATTAACAGTGTTTAATGGAAATTATTCCAAAGCTGAGTAGAGAGATATTTTTCATTCTTTTTAAAAATTTATTTCTTTAAATTCAAGTTAGTTAACATACAGTGTAGTCTTGGCTTCAGGAGTAGAACCCAGTGATTCATCACTTACATATGACACCCGGTGCTCATCCCAACAAGTGCCCTCCTTCATGCCCATCACTCATTTAGCCCATCCCCTCACCCGCCTCCCCTCCAGCAACTACAGTTTGTTCTCTATATTTAAGACTCTCTTACGGTTTGCCTCCCTCTCCGTTTTTATCTTATTTTTCCTTCCCTTCCCCTGTGTTCATTTGTTTTGTTTCTTAAATTCCACAGATGAGTGAAATCAGAGGATATTTGTCTTTCTCTGCCTGACTTACTTAGCATAATACTCTCTAGTTCCATCCGTGTTGTTGCAGATGGCAAGATTCCATTCTTTTTCATCACCGAGTAATACTCCATCGCATATAAACACCACATCTTTATCCATTCATCACTTGATGGACATTTGGGCCCTCTCCATAACTTGGCTATTGTTGACAGTGCTGCTGTAAACATTGGGGTGCATGTACCTCTTTTTGACAGTTGCTTAGCCTTCTAATCTGTAGATGAACCATAGATGATTCAGTCTGCCGGAGTTGTGTTGCTTCCGTCTTTAGCACTGCAAACAGTGCATATGAAATAGGGTGCCTGTGTGTTTTCACAGTTTTGCTGGTGTATCTTTGGAATCCGTTCTTAAGCGCACTCTTTTTGAAATGGTTCTATGACTTCAGCTCTCGCGGCTCTCCCTTGCTCCCCCCCACCCAGAGTTTATTCCGTATGATACGGCAGCTGTTTGCCTTTATTTTGTATGATTCTGAGCTTCCCAGGTGAATCTTAGTTCTGTACCTATGAGACTGTGCCGTGGTACTGCCCACGTAAGGCAGTCACAGTGCCAACCTAGTGCTGTCAAGAGATGGGGTTTACAGATGTGACCTGGAGAGGGGTGCGAGGACAGTGATGGGGGTCAGAGCACGCCACAGGGGAAATCTTTTTTATAGTAGGTGTTCCAAACAGGAAGCAACTCTTCCTGAAAGAAAAATAGCATTCCATCCCACTCGTATCCCGATGACAAGCGAGGTAACGGACATTACTTGGAAGAGTAATGTGGGAGATTATTAAGATCTAAGATACGAAATAAAGAGGACTCAGGTTAGAGGGAGAATCGTTTCTGTGTGAACCGGCAAAGCAGGCAGCCCGGGTCTCACCAAGCACAGCGGCTGGATGTAAAGCCTCTGCAGAGACAGATTCTATTTAAATTGAACATCTAGAACTGAGGGAACAACGATTAAGAATCTGGGGGTGGCTCAGTCGGTGCAGCCTCTGACTCTTGATCTCCGCTCAGGTCTTGATCTCAGGTCGTGGGTTAGAGTGAGCCTGGAGCCCACTTAAAAAAAAAAAAAGTAAAAGATTAAGAACCTACACCTGGACAGTGATTCTCTAAGGGACGGTCATCCTGAATGGTGTCACCTTCAGAACAGAGGTGCATGTGGTGGTGGATACGTGGGAGACCGGCCCGTGAGCCCGATTAGCTTGATCAGCCCTGGTGACTAAACCCAGGTTCAGTGACAAGCACGTGGTACACAGCAGATTTTCAACAAACCCCTGATACACCGATCAGCTCCTTAGCTTCACATCTTCATCGCAATGTTCTTCTTATCCTTGCCTTTCTCCCGCCGTCTTCATGTGAGTTCAATGTCAGTGCTCAGGAACTTTTATTTCTGCCATAGATGGGCTCCTCCAAATGTTGCATGTGAATCTGCTTTTTATTATCTCAAAATATTTTTATGCACACAGTGTGCAAGTCACTGATGATGCAAACGCACGTCGGTGATAGACATAGTTTCTGTATTTTAGAAATTGATTACGTAGTCGGGGAAACTGAGTACAAACACAAAGATAAGGACAATCATCACTACACGATTTCAGTAGCACGGGGGTTCGCGTAGGGTGTTGCCTGCTGGTAACACCACTCACGGGCGGGAGAGCCAGCTGAATGTTGAAGGGTTTGATGACAGATAAATGGAAACGAGAGAGGAGGGTTTTTGGCAGGAAGGATTGTGTGAGCTAAATCAAGAAACTGGTAAGGTGCCATACTGATAATATTAGCTGTGGTGAGGAGGCCGCGGGGTACAGTATCCCATCCCATCGGAACTGAGACTTTTTCAGCAGGAGGGGAAGAGGGCGAAACACAGGAAGACGAACAGGCAGCGATGTGTGGGACGGAGTGGAAAGAGGGGGGGGCTGGAGGCAGGCGGGCTGATTCAATGTCTGTGAATAGAATCGTGTTTTTCACACTGAGATTGGGAGCCCAACGACAACTGATCATCTCGAAGAAGCTTCATCTTCACTTCTGATTAAACTTTAATGCAACTTCAGTCTCCAGAGTCCGTCCCGCATCCGACCTCAGTGTCTACATGTCAATACTGACACGGAGCTGGGCTTTGTATTCTTGTTTATCCGTTAGAAAAGGGAGGATATGTTTAAAAGGTAACTAATGGCTGGTTCATTGGTGTCTGGCAAATTTCAGTCTCGCATACTGGGACTGGTCAGAGTGGGGGCACGCCCCCACGCCCTGCCTGTGTGCCGAGGATGGCTTATCCTTCGTCCTCGGTTACTTTTTTGTGTGTTTCAGGAACGTGGGAGGCACAGACAGTAAAATATATTGGATGCCTTTTGGACTTTAAAAAAAAATTTTTTTAATGTTTATTTATTTTTGAGACAGAGAGACAGAGCATGAGTGGGGGAGGGTCAGAGAGAAGGAGACACAGAATCTGAAACAGGCTCCAGGCTCCGAGCTGTCAGCACAGAGCCTGATGCGGGGCTCGAACTCACGGACCGCGAGATCATGACCTGAGCCAAAGTCGGCCGCTTAACCGACCGAGCCACCCAGGCGCCCCTCCTTTTTGACTTTTTCAAAAAATATTTCATTTTTAGTTAATCTCTGCACCTAACATGGGGATCAAACTCACAACCCCGAGATCAAGAGTCAAGTGCTCTACCCACTGAGCCAGCCAGATGTGCCTTTGAAGCCCTTTTTAAGAGCGAGATTTTCACATGCCTTGTCCTTCGTTATCCCAGCCATCCCATCCATGGTATTAATCCCAATTTACAGATCGGAAAAATGAGAACTACAGACACAAAATGACTTGCTTAGAATTACGAGCTAATAAATGGCAAAGCCAATGTGCAAACCTGGTTTGGACTGATTCTAAGGATGAAGTTCTTTCCTCCACCCCACACGGTTGCATTTGAAGGGAAATTATGGTAGATTTGAAGGTAAGAAAGGGGGCAGTGGTGCAATATTTGAAGTGAGAGGGAGTAATAAATACTTGCTACTTACTGTTAAGGGGAGAATTATAAAATAGTGCAGCCATATCAGCTCTCCCTTGCCCTAAAGCTACAAAAATTGTTGCTGGGAGATGAGACTTTTCCTGCTTAGGGTAATTTGTTGTAAAGAAAAATTTAAAACTACGTCACTAAATTATAATTTAATGCCATTAAGATTTTCTGCCTGGGCAGAGGACCTTAACAGACATCTCTCCAAAGAAGACATCCAGATGGCCAATGGATACATGAAAAGATGCTCAGCAGCACCCATCATCAGGGAAATGCAAATCAAAACTGCAGTGAGATATCACCTTTCATGTGTCAGAATGACCAACGTCAGAAAGACAAATAACGAGTGTTGGAGAGGATGTGGAGAAAAAGGAACCCTCGTGCACTGTTGGTGGGAATGCAAACTAGTGTGGTCATTGTGGAAAACAGTATGGAGGTTTTTCGAAAAACCATAAATAAAACTACTATACAATCTAGTAATTCCTCTACTGAGTATCTACCCAAAGAAAACGAAAACACTAACGCACATCTATGTTTATTGCAGCATCATCTACGATCGCCAAGATATGGAAGCTGCCTAACTGTCCATCCATAGATGAATGGATAAAAAAGGTGTGGTATATCTACACAATGAAATATTTTCAGCCATAAAAAAAGAATGAGATCTTGCCATTTGCAACAGAAGGGAAATGCTAAGTGAAATAAGTCAGAGAGAGATACCATAGGATTTCACTCGTGTGGAATTTAAGAAACAAAGTAAATGAACAAACAAGAAGACAAATTAAAAAACAGACTCAAATACAGAGAACAAACTGGTGGTTGCCAGAGAGGTGGGGGGGTGGGGCTGGGTGAAATAGATAAAAAGGATTAAATAACACACTTATCTTGATGAGCGCTGAGGAATGTAAAGAATTGTTGGATCATTATACTACACACCTGAAAGTAATATAAGTCTGTATGTTAATTTGACTCCAAAAAATGTTTTTTAATCTTCATTTATTTTTGAGAGAGCGTGAGCAGGGGAAGAACAGAGAGAAAAAGGAGACACAGAATCCGAAGCAGGCTCTGGGCTCTGAGCTGTCAGCCCGGAGCCCGACGCGGGGCTCGAACCCACGGAGCACAAGATCATGACCCGAGCCGAAGTGGGACGCTCAACCGACTGAGCCACCAGGCGCCCCAAAGTGTTTTTTTTTAAAGAAAGGATTTTCTACCTGGAATGCCCTCCTTCCCTTGACTCATTCTTTGCAATGAGTTCAGCTCAACATCACCCCTCCTCTGAATGCTGTCCCAGTGCTTTTCACATCCAGTGACTTCCTTGTTCTGTGTGCTGCACTTGAGAAGGGACTCAGGTATTATCAATTCTAAAAAGACTGCCAGCCTATCACAAATCCACATGAAGTCCAGAGCCTTGATACAGTTTTCCTGAATTTTCTCATCAGTTTATATCTAGACAAACTGAGTAATTGGGCAGGGGATGAGTATCTATGACTCTTTTTTCCCCTCTCGCCTCTTTCTCTCTTCCACCCCCCTCCCCCCAACAATCTTCTCCATCTTGACCATCCCTCTGTCCTCTCTTCCAGGGCCCTGACTCCAACCTGGAAATAGAAAGGGAAGGTTATGATGCCCATTGCTCTTGGCCATGCTGGAGGGGTAGCCATTGATTTCTACGCCTACACCCCCCCTGGGCCATCCCCTAGAATGGTGCCTGCGCCATTGTTGGCCCATAATGAATATGCTGAATAACAGACATAAAAAATTGCTCAAGCCATTTGGATTCTCCCAGGTGGAAAATACATTAGATTTATAAAGGTTTTTTTTAATTTTTTTCCCCATTTTTTTCTGTTGATGATATTTCTAACCTCTTAGCACAACTTTGACGTGTAGTAGAGCGGACATGTATGGTTTTCCTTCACCAAGCCAGAGCAATGACAATATTGCGTTCCCTGCATGCGTGGACCCCCCCCCTCCAAGTCAATGAATGTGACACTTCTGCTCTATGTGAACTATAGATAAAGCAATATTGTTCTCCACCAGACGGTTCTAAGCTGGTTGGATACAAACCCAGAGCAGCCTGCGGCCTCCGTGCCACCCTGTGGGAAGGACCTAACTAAGAAGAAATTTCAAAAAGAAGAAGGCACAACAAGAGATGGAGAGACTGTCTCTTTGGCTTGAGATGTAGCGTCAACCATGCCTGAAGCTAAGTTCTGCCTGGACTTTCCAGTCTTGAGAGGCAATAAATTTCCCTTGTCACGTAAGCCACCTGAAGTTGGGTTCTTCTCACCTGTAACAAGAAGTCGGTACAGTGCGATTATTAATGCTAATGAAATCCTTGTCTCTCTAAACAAAGCCCCCCCCCCCCCCCTCCGCCCATGAAAGATAAAAGAGGGAAGAAAATAAAAGGCCAACGGGGAGTGAGAAACTTGTCTTATGCAAGCATATGGTAATAATTTATCTACATGCCGGTAAGAATATGAGTATCTTGCAAGCATGCGTCCCCAGAGCCTAGCACAGTGTGTAAACATGGTTAAAACTCAGTATTTCTTGGTTGAAAAAACCTGATTTAGTCCTAGTTTTTAAGCTCTGGAGTCAACTGAACCTGTTCAAAGCCTGACCATTAGTATTATTTTTTTTTAACGTTTATTTATTTTTGAGGCCGAGAGAGGCAAAGCATGAACGGGGAGGGTCAGAGAGAGGGAGACACAGAATCTGAAACAGGCTCCAGGCTCCGAGCGGTCAGCACAGAGCCCGACGCGGGGCTCGAACCCAAGGACCGCGAGATCATGACCTGGGCGGAAGTCGGCCGCTTAACCGGCTGGGCCACCCAGGCGCCCCAAAGCCGGACCATTATTTATTAACCGTGTGACTTTGGCCGAGTTGCTTCATCTTTCTGATTTTGATTTCCTTGTCTATCAAATGAGTGAGCACGCTAATGATTAGTACTGACTTCGCATGTTGTAGGGAGAACGGAATAAGATCATGCACGGGGCATTCATGTGGTCAGTACGCCGTGACATGCCACGGCTGTGGCTACTACCAAACAAGAATGATTAGGACCTAGGCTTCCTCACGTTAACGTTTCTATTAAAATGTTATTTGCTATCATGGCTTTTTTTTTTTTTTTTTTTTTAATGTGTATTTTTGAGAGAGAGAGAGCGCGCGCGAGCAGGGGAGGGGCAGAGAGAGAGAGAGGGAGCCAGAGGACCCAGAGCGGGCTCTGCACTGACAGCAGTGAGCAGGATGCGGGGCTCGAACTCACAAACAGCAAGATCATGACCCCAGCGGATGCTTAACCGACGGAGCCACCCAGGTGCCCCACTATGATGACATTTTAATGTATATTGGTTTGTCATATAATTTATGTACCAGTTACCCTGAGCAGTGTGGGGGTTAGGGCCTGACCCCTCGTGCAGTTGAAAATTTACATATAACTTTTGACCCCCCCCCCAAACTTAACTACTAACAACCTGCTGTTGACAGGAAGCCTTACCGATAACACAAACGGTCAATTGGCACAGATTTTGTGTGTTGCATGCATTATATAGTCTTCGGACGGTAAAGCCAGCTAGAGAAATAAAATGCTATGAAGAGCATCCTAAGGAAGAGAAAATACATCTACGATACTTAGTGTATTTATCGAAAAAAATCCACGCGTACGTGGACCCACGCGGTTCCAATGTGTGGCCTAAGGGTCAGCTGTACAGCCATGTGATCTTAGGCAAGTTACTTAACCTCTCTGAACCCAGTTTATTTCAAGTGAGCACGAATCTAATACCGCACATATCCGTTCTGGTGTTAAATGACCCAGGGCGTATTAAAACGCCTGGGTGGGATGTGGTGGTTGGAGTAGGCAGCCTGCAAGCTGGGCCCCAGCGACCTCCACCGTCTGGCTTTCATGCCTTGGGTTAGTGAGTTCTCTCTCTTTACAAATGCTGCCTTGAGGCCAAGAGACCTGTTCTCTGTTCCTTGTTCCACGCTCTGCTCGCTCTCACCTTCTAACCTTTCTTCCTTGGCTGGAGCCCACTGCAGTCCTTGCTTGTCCACCTTTTAGATGGCCTGGAGGCCCTTTTAATGCCCTCTCTTTCTTGAGGCTTCTCTGAGCCCTCCACCCCAGTGCTGGCTGTCGGGAAGTCACCTCTTCTCCCTCTACACTTCGCAGCGAGTATTTATACCTTTCTTACGCCGTCTCCATGCTTCCCTCCTACCCTGTCAATTTTTATCCTGTATGATCTAGCAACGCTCAAGCTGTACCTTTGAAAAGTTAATGTCCATTCGTCTTTGCGACCTGTTCCGTGCCAGCACACGGCGACGTACGATAATGGGTACTCAGGTACGTATCGGTTGGGTAAATGATGCTGTGAGGAAGCGTGGGAGTAAATGGAGAATCATGAAAATAATTACATTTATGTTATCTCCTTCTTCTTGAATGCTGACATTTTCCACTGCCTTCAGTGTACCCCCCTGAAGCCGCATTTCTAGGATTCCAGCATTCATTAGTGAATTCATGTGCAACTACCTCAAAAAAAATTCCAAGTCAGCAGAAGGGAGCATTTCTATCCTATTAGCAGTATAGTGTTAGTACAGCTATAACATTAAGGCGTTTTACAAATTATATTAATGACGCATCCATCCATTTAGTTATTTATCCAAAAAAAAAAAAAATGTGTCCCCTGAAAAGATCAGCATGGAGGGTGATAAAACGAGCACCATTGTGTGATTCCTGCCTTCACAGTCCATCTGGGAAAACCACAAACTAGGGACAGGTTCACCAAGGCAAGGTGTTGAAGGACTTGACCTTCGAGTGGTACTGACCAAAACATTTCAAGCATATGTACAGACAAAGGAATCGAAATCCACTACGATTTGGAGGCTTAAAATTTACTTTCAGGCACTGCCCTGAATTCACTGCTGCAGGCCTTCTCCAGCCTTGTAGGAAATGGACAATAATTAAAGTGTCAGTAGAACTGCCTTTGGATTTCCATGAAATTAATACCTGTGGTTCTGTATTTTCCTTGCCAACCTGTCCAGGTAGTTCTGAGAATCCATTCCAAAGCTATTCATCCCCTGATAATGCAGATTTATCAGGTACCAAAGACGTGGGCCTTGTGGTGAGGATGTGCTCCCACGAGGAGAGCAAACCCTTGGAATCCATCCGTGACCCTGGATTCGGAAGCGGAGTGGTGCGTTCTACCCCCTCCACTTCTCAATTATCTGCAGGTTTCCGAGTTCGAACCCCAAGGCAGAAAGAGACTAAAAATCATTTCACATCACTTGCTACAACCTTGAGGACATCGTGTTGATGAAAATAATCAAATACTGTATGATTCTAGCTGTATGAGGTACCTTGTCAGGTTCATAGCGACGGGCGCCTGGGTTGCTAGGTCAGTTGAGGGTCTGCCTCTTGATTTTTCGGCTCAGGTCATGATCTTAGAGTTCGTGGGTTCCAGCCCCCCATGGGGCTCTGCGCTGACAGCATGGAGCCTGCTTGGGATTCTCCCCCCCCGCCCCCCGCCCTTCTCTCTGCCCCTACCTTGCTCTCTCTCAAAATAAATAAATAAACTTAAAAAAATTTCATAGAGACAGAAGTGGGATGGCGGATGGTGGGGGCAGGGGAGGGAGGAGTAGGAAGTTGTTAGTTAACAGGCACCGAGCTTCTGTTTCGCAAGACGAAAATGTTCTGGAGACTGGCTGCACAACAACGTGACTATCCTTACTACCAAATTGTACGCTTAAACATGGAAAAAATGGTAAATGTTACGTTCTGTGTTTTTCACCACCATTAAAAGAAAATCATTTCAACACCCCCTCTGCCTTCAAACTGGACAAAACTTTAATGTGCCCCAACAGAAGGGAATTTCTTGTGTCCTTAAAGATCTGGAGAAAATACTCCACCGTCTACTTCCTGTAATCCTGCCTGCCATGCTCTGGGCCCTCCTTTATAAGGAGTTTCATTTTGAAATACACTAGAATACCTCTGGGGCAATGTAAGCCTTCTCCCAAAGGTTGCTCCCCAAAACCTCCTAAAAAAAACCAAAACCCAAACCCGAATTTACCAACTTTTGGCACATTGGAAGGTAACTTTGGAAATCACTGGGTGAAATCATTACGTTTCCTTTCTCTCTTCCTCTCTGCCAAGCAGAAGCAGGAATGGATATTGGCTGTTGTGATCATACCAGGCCAAGTGACCATTAAAAAAAAAAGAATCGTGAATGCTGGTTAATACTTACAGCCACACACATTTGTGAGTGCTTTTGCACGTGTTACCTCATTTAGTCCTTGTAACAACACTGTGAGGCAAGTGCCTCGCTGTCACCCCTGTTTTGTCGAGGAGAAAACTTTGGCAGGGAGGTATGCAGTAAATGACCCAAGCTCATACTCCAGAAAGAGTTGGAACCAGGATTGAATTCCACGCAGTCCAGTCTTTATGACGATGCTCTAAAACCCCAGCCCGCACAGCCGTTAGACCTAGTCAGGAAGGGCTCCCCATTCTGTGCTCTATGCTCTAAAGGATGCCCTCTCCCACCCACTGCACCCCTCCCCATGGAGAGGAGCCTACGGGCCAAGAAGCTATGACCACCTGAATCCCGTGCCAGGTACTCTGACCCCTGTGTCTCTTCCCAAACAGTCCTAGGCCCGCCTCTAGGACCTGCACAGCCTTCCTTCTTAAGCTGCCCCTTGTGGGTGCTACTGAACCCCCATGGTGCACACCAAGAGGCACTCAAGGGATGACTGGGGAGCGAGGATGGGGCCCAGACGTGTGGACTAATGTATCCTCACGATGCAGGTCGAAACCAGAAGTGGACAGAGAAGGGAGAAGTCCTGAGGCTGGGGTTGGTTGTGGCCCACATGTCTCCATGCCACCGTGTTCTGGCAGAGAACCCCAAGGACTCTGGGAACTCCAAATGTGGACTGGGCCCTCTGGCTCATTGCTATGAAGATTTGTTTGTTGGGGGCACCTGCGTGGCTCAGTCGGTTGAGCCTCCGACTCTTGATCTCAGCTCGGGTCTTGATCTTAGGGTTGTGAGTTTAAGCCCCGCGTTGGGCTCCACACTGGGCCTGGATCCCACTTAACACACACACACACACACACACACACACACACACACACACACACACACACACACACAGAATATAAAGATTTGTTAAGAGCATAGAACATATTTCATAATAGGTTGTTGACTTGTTCCAAACTTTACACATTCAGAGGCAAGTGGGCTCCATTGACCATCTTATCCAGGACCCACCAATGTGAGGGGTG